TTGAATTTATAAAATAAATAGAAAGACTGGGTGATCTTTGAGATGTTCTACAGCTCAAATGTTTGAGAGATTAGTCTTTGGTGAATTGGCAGGCCACAATTTACAACTTGCAACCTTCCAATTATGAGCACGCAAAAAGTTATTCACCGGTGGATAGACCTTTGGGTGCCAGCATTGCATCATTTCCGATAGCATACTTTCCAGATGAGGTTTGACTTTATGCTTCATTAAATAAAGTCAAAATGGGAGTAGAATCAAGAAGAGCTTGCTGTTGTATGAAAAGACACAATTGAATGTTTTTTTAAATGAAGTGATTTAGATGTTATTTTCATATTTTATTGAATCACAAGGAAAAGGCCTTGAATAATAATTAGTAAGGTCTCCTGTCTCAAAACTGAATTTTGCCCACCAGTCTCAGAGAAATGGTTAGCTACCCCAATTATCAAAAGTCCTTCGGTCAGGAGAGTGTTGACTTAACTTGGTAATGGCTTCTAGTATATTACCTGTCTGTTGACCTTTCAGTGCTTCCTTATTTCTAGCCTGCTGTCAGCCAATCCTGTGGTTGGAAATATGGATCCAATGTAACACATTTTGTATATACAGAAGCTCATGTATCTAGATGACTTGCAGATGCGAATCTCCTAGATGTACAGACCTGAGCCCAGACACTCTGCTGGGCTCTCCTCCTGGACCATCCATTAACCCATATGTATCAGGCGTCAGCTGTAACTCAGGCAGACCTGATTCACGTTTCACCCCTCCGGTGCTTCCTCTAAGCCCCACCGCCTTCCAGCCCCACCGAGCAGCTTCCTTCTAGCCAGATCCTGTGTGCATCCCTGCTCCCCCTCCCCTTCCTTTTCCTTCCATGGAATCCTTACCAGTTCTTATTCCTTCTGTGGAGTCCTTCCCAGTTCCGTGGTAGTTCTCCATCTTCACGTGGATGTCCAGGCCCTTGGCAGCCTCAGCAACTCTGGGGATCTCATTCTCTTCAGGTCTCCAGCCCTTTTTCTCCAGGCAGACACACCAGGGTTGTTTGCTGCCTTCTTGAAGACTGAGAGACCATACCCCTCAATATAAGTGAAAGGACAGATGTCTGAAGGCCAGGGACAGCACGCTGGACCCAAATCCACACCGCATACATTACGTACAGAGCTATCACTCGAGAGAGAGCAAGGCCTCCCAGCCCATAGAAGTTATGAGCAGGCTGCCCATGCCTTGGGTTTTCATATCCCCCCAGATGAGGTGAAACGTAAGAATTTAAAACTCTTAGACCTTACTTTGTGGAAAGTGTAAGGCAGCATCTGAACAAAGCTCCAGATTAAACATTCCCTTTGAACAGGCTCACGGGAACAAAAGCCTGAAAGTGCAGGCACTTGTGATGGACCTTGAAGTTTCTAAATAACAAGCAGAGATTCCATTGTTTGGGAGTCTTGCTTCAAGTCGGGGGTGGAGAGATCATTCTGCAGAGAAAACAAGTCACAGTCCTATTGGCAAATCAGGAGGCCATTTCAGCAGCAGAGTTAAGGAATTAAATCTTCCCCAGAGCAAGAATCCCCTGATACGTAGCCAATAAATAATGTGTATGAGGTGATGCCCCAAATTTATTCTCTCAGTGACACATGCCAATGCAAAAGTTAGTGCCTAGGAAAGGACTGTAAGTGATCAGATGGAAATTTCCCTCAGAATATAAGAGCTGAGTGACACCTGTGTTTATTTGGTTATCAAAATGACAACTTCTTTATAAAGTCATAATAGACCCATTGATAAGCCTGTGAGATATGAAAATTTCGTGAGCAGCTGCTTCTCTTCATTGCTAAATTAGAAAGCATAAAATGAAAAGTGTTTGTATCAGATTAGATACCTAGAGAATTTTCTAATCGCTTTTGGATCTTAACAGTTTTAGGCAGATAATATGTACAGTGAGTCATGCTGAACTTTGGCATTCTTTTTCCCAAGTCAGTTCCATTCAAGTCCCCAAATAAGAAAAATGCCCATAAGAATGGGTAGGATGCAGCTAATCCAGATATTAAAAGATTTTTAAGGCATCATAATTTGAAAGTGTTTCATCCATCTTCATTTCATGGGCAATAAGATCGTTGGTAGCACCTCAGAAGAATTATTATCAGTGATATTGTTGATAATTTAGCTATTCTCATTGTGCTGTTACTGTTACTGTTCCTTACAGACATCTATCTACTTATGTTGAAGTCATGTGAGCAGAGGTGTAAATAAAGTCCTGTGGTTACACCATTTGGAAAACACCAATTGTCTCTAATAATAGTACCGGTCTCTATGGTTATTGGGATGATTAAATGAGATAATGCATATAAAGTCTTAGAGCAGCACCTGGCACAGAAGGAATGTGAGAAAGCTGTGTCCTTTCTAATTCTGCCTCTGAAGATTGCAGCCTACTTTTAGGCTGTCTCTTCTGATGACCACTGCAGATAACTAGATTAGTATTTCTGTCAACTCCCTTTTTCCTCTCCTCATTAAGGGACAGCTTGTTTGCACTGTTTGTATATTGAAATAACTATCCCTAAGCATAGACTTGCTTTAAGTTCACAATGTTCATCTGATTACTCTAAGAGAACTATATCTGTTTCTTCACACTAATCACACAAGCATTGCCATCCATGATCCTGTATCCTTTAAGCCCAGCCTATATTCTACAAATAAATATGTCCTTGACTCTGAGTGCTGTTTCCCCATCTCCATAAATGTCATTGATCTATCCACTTTCCATACCAGAAACTTAGGCATTTTCCTTGACTCTGCCTTCTGCCCGCCACCTCACAGCTGATCCATCAGGTACTATCATGTCTACCTCAAATAAATGTCTTAAACCCATCAGCCTCCCTACCGCAACATGCTGCACCCTAATCTAAGCCACCATCGCCTCCTTGTCTGGACAAATGCAATTGCTTCCTGAGTGGTTTTCTTGTTTCCACTCACACTGTATTCCTACCCATTGCCCACTCAGTAGTCAAGGTAGAATTTTTGAAATAACAATGAGACCATGTTTTACCCCAACTTAAAACTCTTCACTGATGTCACATTGCGTGCAGAATAAAACCCACATACATTATTATGACCTATGAACTCTGCATGCTCTGGCCACAGGGAATGTCTCGGGGAGCCCTCTTCCAAGCACTCCAGCCTGTTTCTTTCATAACACTCATCTCAGTTAATAAGCATATATGTATTTTTGTGATCACTTGATTAATGCTGGTCTTCCTCACTGGTCTATAAGCTTCATGAGGGCAGAGATTATGTTGGTTTTGTTCATCACTAGGTCCCCAACACTTCGCATAGTTCTTGGAACTCAGTAGGTGCTCAGTAAATGTTGGTTGAATAAACAAATGAACTCATCCCAAATTCTAATTGTGCCCTTATATGATTTTCTTGTCAAAGTCACACTTTTAAATATTAAAATTAGTTACTAGTAATAGAGAATACCTATGTACAAGTCATTAGATGACTGGTTTGTAGGGATATTTCTAGGAAGTTTATTCTAAAAGCCTTCTAGAATTATATCCCAAAGTCTTTATACATCAAAACACTGTAGGTTGAATAATGGATATTTTGGTTTTGGTAAAGGTATTAAAATTGGACTCCTTCCTTCCATACTGTTCACTCTATTAAGGTTTCCAGAATGACTGCTCCAAATCATAATACTCATAAGATGAGAGCTCACATTAACCAGCAATGTATCCATCTCCTAAAGTAAAAAGTTATAGCCAAACCTGTTAAGATACATATTTTAAATCTATCAGCTACTATTGACAATGTTATAATGGTTTATGTTTACTAGAAGAATATGTCTGGCACATTTATGAATGGTATAACTTTGAGCATGCTTGGTTGGTAAGAGTGGTTGAATTGATATTAGGCTACATTTTTTTACATGGTGCTATTTATCTATTAGGCATAAAAGGGCACTTCGGAAATTTAGGTTAACAAAACCACAAAGTTAGTGGGGGAAATAAGAAATATCGAATAGAAGGAAAGGACACTTGAAATCTATTTTCATTGCATTTTCACATTTTGTTCTTCATTCTTGAACTCATTTCCCTCTAAAAAGCAAGAATGTTATACTGGGAAATAACATGTCCTGAAACCCTGAGCCAGCAAGCTTATGACCCAAGTGGTAATGATTTCTGTAATTGTTTCTGAGGCAATGGGAATTGAATATCTCAGTGAACTCACTGGGGCCGGCCTCTTGCCTGTTCTACAAGAAGCTGTCATATCAAATTTCTGTCCTGACTCCATGGGCACTTTGATTCCGAAACTTTTCTGAGAAACCTAATCTGAAATCAAAGTCAAGTTTCTTAGATGTGGTCAGACAAGGTCACATTTAAAACAGTTCAGTGAACCTGCAGACCAAAGTTGAAAGGTAATGCCTCACTCCCAAAATTGGCATAGACTTACCTGCTAGCTTACCTTTCAGTTTCTAAGGTGCCTTTTTCACCTCATTACCAATGGACTGGGAAAATGAGATTTCATCCTCTGAAAAATAGTAGAAGAGTTTCCTTAAATTAAAATCACTTAATTAGAAAATGTCACACAGTTCTATTTCGGAAATGTACCTTTATCCAAATCAGTGAACCATGAGGCATTTTGTTGTAGAAATATCTTGATCAGAGATTGCAAAAGAAACCCTAATTCCTAGTAGGACGTCTTTAAATCAGAATTGCATGGTAATTTCAGGTTCATGGCCTTCACTTTTGGCCTAAAGTATCAGTATTTATCCATCTCTTGAGTGACCCAAAACACTATCCAGGATTTCTACTGTAATGCTTTGGAAATTTTTTTCCCAGTGCTACCTTCCTTCCATGTTGAGCCTTGACATATTATCTAAAATGGCGCTGGAAAGTGGGGGAATGGTGACTCTTGATAGGCATAATCTTAACCTCTCACAACAAAGGTTTTTATCAAACTTCATGTGATTAAAAACAAAAACAAAAACAAAAAAACAACCTTGCCATTGCTTTATATTTCAGTGTTCTGTCTCTTGTGGTCGAGGGCATAAACAACGAAATGTTTACTGCATGGCAAAAGATGGAAGCCATTTAGAAAGTGATTACTGTAAGCACCTTGCTAAGCCAAATGGGCACAGAAAGTGCCGAGGAGGAAGATGCCCCAGATGGAAGGCTGGAGCCTGGAGTCAGGTGAGCAATGCTTCTCCCCTACCAATGCTTCGTTACCTTCGGGCACGTGGCTGACACCATCATGTTGGCTTGTGTTCCCGTGCTCTGTTTTGGTTTTTCAGAGGGGAGCTGTGGGACCTTGGACAAGTAGCTTCAGCCCTTGGCATTTTGGATAATACCTAGGGCAGGGTGGTTATGAGGGTTCATTCCAAGTGGTAGTAGAAGGACATATCAGATGTGAGCACAGAGTAGCCCCTCCACACTTTGCTGATGGCATTAATATTATCATTCACCATTTAGAAAACCACTAATTCAGATTGCAGTAAGGTTGGCTATGGTCACCTGGCAGGACCTGAGTCTGAATTTACCTTTGAGGTTCTTAAAGAAAGGGCTGTCTATATAAAGTAGTAGAGACTATTTCTCTTGTATACAAGAGAGTTGGGGGACAGAGGGGAAGTTCTCTGTCATTTTCTAGCTATGGGACCTTGGGTGATTTGTTTAACCTTCGTGAGCCTACTTCATATAGTTCTTATGAGGATTTAGTACAATAATGAAAGCTGTCTAGGGGATTCAGGAATCTTTAATCTCATAGGCTCTCAAGAATCATAATTTGTTTGGATGAGTGTGATGTGTATCAGATGGGAAAGGGGAGTAAAGTAGCAAGAAGTTGACTATGGTTAGACTCCACTAATTCTAAAAATTGGGTGATTTAGTCAGGAACTGGGTGTGAGAGTTTCCCTGTTGAATTCAAGAAGGAACTCTTGAAACTGCCATTTACCTATAAACAATGAATGCATGAGCTAAAGTCACTGGCATCTAGTCCTTAAAGTAAATCTTGCCACTCCACACTTACACGTGTCCTCTGCCTGGTTGAAGGTGATTACTTAAAAGTAATAAGGCTCAATTTCTTTTCTTGTGTTCTTTATTTACTACTGCTCCTTCTCCCCATTGATTTGATTCAGTGAGTTCTGACTGAGTTTGCGGTTCCCCTCTGCAGTGGAGAGTCCTGCAGATACTCCTCAGAATCAATAAAAAACTAGGTTCAAGGTTGGCAGCCTCTAGAATTGATTCTTCCAGAGCTTGGATCTTGATTCCTAAGGCCCCAAAGAAGCATTGGACAGCTGTGTTTACATGGGGAGGAGTTGAGAATCTTCCATTTCAACATGACTAAGGGAAAATTCATCTAGAAACGTGAATTTTTCTTCAATGTCTGAGCTGGCATCATTGTCCCCCATACCTTTCAGCTATATTCCACGTCCCAGAAATGTAAATTACAGCCTGTACCGTTCTCCAGCAGACTGGGCGAATCCCTCTCAAGGCCTCTAGCATGATGATCATGCTTTGCTTTTGTTTTAATTTAACGGTGAGAGCATCTGTGTCTAGCCAGAGCTCTTCCTCCCCTGGCTTCCTTAAAGGGATGAGATTTCAAAGCATGCTTCAAACTAGGCATCCTTAATGGTTTTCTAAGCTATTGCTGTCATCTGCCGCTTCTAGTCCTTGTGTTTTTGGAGCTATTCAATTCATGTAAAAGCCTGCAGCTAACATTATTTAATATACCACACTAATTAGCTTGTCCTCTTGTAGACCTTCATGCTGTTAGTTTTCTGTATGTTCCTTAGCCTCTATTCACCTATTTGCATCTTGCCCTAAATATTAAGTTTAGAGCATGTAAATGATGGTCATTTTAAAGTCCAATTCATTCAGTAAATAGACAATTAAGAGAATTTTTTGCTGTTTATTAGTAAACACAGAGTGAGTTTTACTCCAGCATCCTGTGATGTCTAAAATTGCTCACAAAGCTGTGATAATTAGGTTTGAACCCTGGGGTGTTTTTCTGAACATAAGGTAATAGGATTATCAGAATGCCTCCCCAGTAAAGACCCGCACCTGTTCAAAATGATTGCTTAGAAAAATCTAGTCACCTTTATAGAAAATGCAAGTAAACACAGTTGTGTAATGATCTGTAGCCAGCTTCATAATGCCCTGATTTGATTTGTAGAAAAGAATTATAAAAGCAGGCAAGACAAGGTGCTACACAGGTAAAATCCAATTGGTGCAATTTAGAAGCGTGCCTGAAAATAATTGGGTCCAGTGCTTGATGGAGAAAGATGGTCTACATGATTAAAGATTATCAGTGTACTGATGATCCAGTTGTAAACAGGAATATCCCTCAGGCAGCCATATTAACAAGAGTAATGATTATCCATTTGCAACAAATTTAGAAGATTTTATATCTGGTCCCTCTGTTTTCTGCTGGTAGCTATTTTCTCATCTCATCTTCAAGGTAAGAAGAATAATTAGTGCCATTGCTCATCATGTCAAAATGTCTGATGATGATAAGACATAGAGAACATTGTGATAGGAGCCTTGGATAGCCATGCTAATTTGTATAGTTTCTCCCTCAAAATTGGTGTTTTGGGGCTTAACTTGGAATATTATATTTCTGCATCTTTTGAAAATCTTGAATTTATAAAGGAAATGTTTTCCAATAAAAGCATTTCTTTTCTTGAAAAGCATCCTCACTGTAGTTTAAAAGCATTTTTTTTTCAAAAATTCATGTTTGATTTGTTTAGATGATTTTGATCAAGAGCTAAGGTTAGATGCCCATGAAATTTTAAGACAAAAATCAAAATCAGATTCTTGATTCAGCTTGATCATTGTGAAAGCTCTGTATTCTCTGGATACAAAAGCATTCCAGAGTGAATTTTTTAAGCTTACCCTATTCCTCTAGAAAGTCTTTTTTTTTAAAGATGAAGATCAGAAATGCAAAAAATACATGATCGCATTAGAACTTATCAATCATGAATTAATTTAATGGATGCATTCATCAATCCTCAGTCACATGTCTTTTTTATGCTTTACTATCTCTGTGGTCAGGATGGGCCTAACAATCAATTTCAGAATTCCATGATTTAATGAATACTCCTTGTTTTCTTTCTTACTGATATAAAACATAATGAACGCTGTGTCTGACAATGAGTGGTGTCTTCGATTCGGGGAAATAATTCAGTTTCTTTCAAACTCTTCAATGCTAATGCCAAAATATAAACTGGCAAATTGCATTATGAATCCACCAACCATTTGGGTTAGGATTTTTCTCATCATTACAATAAGAGCAGTCTGATGGTGGTGTCTGATTCTGAAGTATTCTGCAAGTGTTTAAGGGAGGAACATGGCAAATGTGTCGCGTGTGTCCTTTGAGAAATCAAGGAAACCATATGCACATGGTCAGTGATGAGAAAGAGAGTTGCTTTAGAGATGTGTACTCTCCATTATTTTGTTTGTATTTGAACTGTAAAGCATCAATGTTGGATTGTTTGAATACAGGCTTCTCACCCACACTCTTGCTGACATCGTATAGAAGACTGCATCATATTAGCACCATATTTTAAAAACTGGAAGGCACATTCTAATCCACAGAAACTATAGTACATTGTCTGGGTCAGAGTTTACTTTGACTGGTTTTTTTTTGTTCTTGTTTTTGTTTGAGTTAGAGTGATTATCTCTGTTCTTTCCTTAATTTATTTGTGGAGTATCTTAAAAAACCTAAAAACCTAAAAGGTTTACTAAGAAATATAAAAGATATTTTATGTAAAATGCTTAGCATAGAGCTCTCAACTGGGGTGATGTTGTACCTCTTGGGACGTTTGGCAATGTCTGGAGACAGCTTTGGAAGTCACAACTTGGTGGAGGAAGCAAAATGTGACTGACATCTAGTGGGTGGAGTCCAACTTCCTACAAGGCACAGGACAGCCCCCAACAAAAATGAGTTATTAGGTTGAGAAGTCCTAGTTTAGAGACCGGCACATAATAAGTGCTTAGTAAAAGTATGCTATTATTGTTGTTACTAATATTGTATTATTATAGTTTGTTTATATAGTTATTTTTTAAGCTAGTCTCTCCTTTCAATAATGTCACCACAGTAATACTGGGAGAAAGTATATAAAATTCTTTCCAGGTTTTCAAGTGTATATTATTAATTCTCCAAACATCCGAACTTCCACAGAGATTCTTTTTACCCGTGGAAATAAGCGTCAAGTTTCATCTTTAAGTTGGTGACTTGTGCATACTAGCATTGCACAGTAGGGAGTGCAGAGAGATGAAACATAGCTCCCGCCTCAGTAGTTCAAAACTAAAATCATCTACTTTCAGACCTGCACAGATAGACTGGCATGCTGGAATGGTGGCTGTGGGGGGAACATATTCATAGAAATCGCTCAACCTTTTTCCTCTGCAAACTTACGAAAAGATGCACTAAATAGAACCAGAAGAATTAAGCACACACATGTGCACATACCACCACCATCACCACCTTCAGGGTCATGCAGAGGTCTTTTTTATGCTGTTTTATTCATGGGGTTTCTGTACAAATCTCTCTGACTTAGCCAGGCAAGGCTGGTTGGCTGTGTATGCAAATCATTGCCTCCCATGAGACAGCACAGGAAGAAAGCTGGAACAGAGAAGTAACTCTCAGGCAGTGCAGTTCATTTTAAACAAAGATCCCCACGGATGCAGTTTACAGGAAGGCAGAGCTTGTACCTTGCTGTGCATCTAAGTCATGTTGAAACTTTTCTGTGTTATTTCAAAGCTTGTTTTGACATTATAAAAATCAGAAGCCACAAAAATATATTATGTAGTTGAACTGTCCTGTGCCTTTATTTGCCTTTTGAAATATGATCGAACATTGTAGACAGTGATTTTTTTTAAATGTTGCATACTCCTGGTTCTTAATACCTTGCCTTCGTTGAACCATATGTAATTTTCTCAGTAACAATAACATAAAAAAAGAGGTTTCATTTACTTAGAGCCTGAATCGAATGCACTCTAAATGTCTTTAATGTTTCCTTCTTCTGAGCTTTTTTTCATATATATATCAGATCAGCCCCAACTCAGATTTGTTTATAATATAATAAGAACCCTTCTTATTCTTTCTTTGTATTTCCATTTGGATACATTGTTCTGGAAATGTACTGTTTTATAATTAAGACCCCAAATTCAAATAGCCAAAGGGTTCTTTTGGTTGTTGTTTGTTGATGATGAGAATGTTTGAATGTTTGTCATTTGTGTGGTCACTCCCCCGTGTTACAGTTCCTTCATTTCCAGTATAATCAATGGGAAATAGTATGTATGTTGCGCCCATAAATATTATATAGCCATTCTTTGTAGACGAGGCAATCTCTTGTGTTCAGACACTCCCCGTTCCACCCAGGACATAATGACTTTAAAAGTCTGATTTTTTGTGGGTCACAAATGCATTCAATCCAATAAATACAATTAAACTCAGATAATAGTAGTTATGTTGCTCCAAAATATTTCCTTCTCTTCAGCTAGTTTCGATATGAACATCTGAGCAGAGACTGGCAGAGACTCATCTGAAATGATATAATTTCCCTTCTACGTAGTATCACCTATTTTCTTAAAATCTGAAATGGCAATAAAATTAATATTCAGGGGCCAGCCGAGTGGCATGTTGGTTAAGAGCTGGCTTGGGATGCCAACTCTGAGCAGCAGGGCCCCGGTTCGGATCCCACATGAGGGCCAGTGACACTGCCCTCTACAGCTAAGAGGGTGAACAACAGCTTGACCTGGAGCTGGGCTGCCATGAGTCACCGGCGATGGTGTAGGCTGCAGCCCCTGCTGCAGTGGGCTGCCATAAGCTACCATGTGTGGCCGGCAGCCAGCGTGAGCGGCCAGCAGCCGGTGTGAGCTGCCAAGAGCCGCCATGAGCAGCCGTGAGCGGCCGTCCAGAGGCCGGTGATCGATCTGCCTCACCTGGGAAAAGCACAATGATAATAACAACACAGGCCAGTGAAGCAAAGTCCTCCACAACTAGACTGAAGAACCAAAAAACAGCAACTTGTCTGTTCCCCTTCCCCTGATTCCCCAGCACTGTTCCCCTCCCTCAATTCCCCAATAAAATCTTTAAAAAAAAAATTAATATTCAGCAGAATCCATTGGGTGTTCTTCTTGATAGTAAATTTCCATTAGCTCAGAGTTAGATGAATCCTACTGCAGGTTAATTGGACAAGAATTCTTTTCTAATTTAAGAGTGCATAATTCTATTCTTTATGAAGACTTCTTCTGAGGAATATGGCTTTAGTGTACATTAAACTTGTTTTCTCAGTGCCAGACAAATTAATGGAAGCTGAGCTATCACAAAACCTTGGTAAAAAATTTTAAATAGCTAAGTGTAATAATTTTCTGTTCTTTCTAATCAAACGTTGCCATTAGTTTCTGACTGTCAGAGCCTTAATAAAGACAATAATTCTTGGCCTGAGATTGTAAAATCCAGCAATGAAGAAACCATTAAAAAATTAATTTAGAGGAAAGTTAATTGCAGATTTAATATGGTGTTTTGCAACTTGGTCAACAAAATGTTTCAGCCTAATTAACAGTATTTTTCATGAGCTGAAACATTGTGCCTGAAAAAATGGGTTTTCCTTGTCAGCTTTCTTTCTTATGTATTCATCTTAGGTTGTAGATAGACAAAAATACTTTAGTGAACTCCATAGTTTAAAAAAAAATTCTTTGTTGCCAGGAATAGGAGCAAGAAAAGAAAGAGACTAGGGGAAATAATTCTACTTATAAGGCCCTAAAAGCTTCATGATTTACAATCCTTGGGTTATAGTTTTAACCTGCCAAGAAATTCTTCTTGTGCAGTACTGTATCTCCAATTTTCGAGAGCCTCAAATCCTCCAGGATAGAAATTATTTGGGGTTTTCATTTCACACGGCAGCACTGTTTCTAGGTTGTACTAAATGCTTCCTTATGACCATTCCCAGACGCTTCAATTGTCCAAGAGTTTTGTTAACGTTTGAGATTCCTGAAGCTTGATTACCTTCCTCATTCACCAACATTGATAGGCAGTGAGTTCGCAGATTAAGACATTGCCTTGGGTCCCTTTCATTGGGATTTAGAAAGCTTTGTGAAAGGCATTGGATTAGGGGTGCATTCCCCATGTCTGTGACCTTCCCCCACCCCCACCCCCATCCCCACCCCCGACACACAGTGTTCCCCAAAGCTCCCACTTACACACTCTGTCTTCTTAGTGCTCAGCGTCCTGCGGCCCAGGCGTGCAGCAGAGAAATGTGGGCTGTCAGATGGGACCACACAAAATAGCCAGAGAGACCGAGTGCAACCCTTACACCAGACCGGATTCAGAGCGAGCCTGCCAAGCCCCACCGTGTCCTCTCTACGCCTGGAGGGCAGAGGAATGGCAAGAAGTAAGTAGAGCCATGCAGTGGGCACCTGCCAGGCACGTTGCTCAGCCCCCTTGCTATTATCACATCCATTCCCCTGTGAAGCCTTCGCGCATGGTGACAAGGCTGGCCCTTTCCCAAAAGGTCTGCTGTCAGAAGGCGAGCAGTTCACTCCAACCAGGGTGGGAGAGCTCCTCCTTTTTATGCAATTCCTACGTCTGTGTCCTTGAATGTTCCTAGTCCGGCTGCCTCCAGAGAAACGTTAACAGGCCTTGGGCCAAATGCATCCAGATAACTCGCACAGAAGGAGGGGAAGATGGACAAAATATTTTAGATATGTGTATCCAGACTTGGTCATTCTGTATTAGTACAAACAGCCACAAGACAGACTCGAGGTAGGACCGCCTCTGTATTTCTTCTCCTTCCATGACTTTGGCTGGCAGGTAGAAGACAGACCCTTATTTGAAACCCTGATTAATTAATTAGTGAAGGATGTCCAACATTAGAAAAATGATGGGATCTAAAGAACTGCTCAGTTGATGCAGAAATAGACAGACTTGTTTTTCTCCCACTTAATGTTTGGTTAAGAAAATGTTAATGTTTAATGTTAATGTCTAGTTAAAGAAAACACTGAATGTCCCTGGGGAAAAATCTGGCTAGGAAGGTAAGACATTAGTATGAGGTAACCTCTGTTTTCAGAACAGAAGATTAGATTGTAGAAAAGGGGAGAAGAGTTTCAGGAAGCAAAACCATGTTCACTGACATTGGAATGACATAGAAAATTCATGCTGTTATTTACAATAGCCAAGACATGGAAACAACCCTTCGATGGGTGATTATATAAAGAAGATGTGGTATATATACACAGTGGAATACTATTCAGCCATAAAAAAGATGAAATACTGCCATTTGTGACAACATGGATGGATCTTGAGAGTATTATGCTAAGTGAAATAAATCATGTGGAAAAGTACAAGAACCATATGATTTCGCTCATTTGTTAGATATAAAACAAAAAGCAAACTAATAAACAAAACAAACAAACAAACACAAAACAAACTCATAGATACAGACAACAGAATGGTGGCTACCAGAGGGGAAGAGGGTGAGGGGAGGACGAAGAGGGTAAAGGGAGTCAAATATATGGTGAGGGGAGGAAACTAGACTTCTTGTGGTGAGCACAAAATACAGTATACAGATGTCAAATTACAAAGTTGTATACCTGAAATTTATAGACTGTTAAAAAAGAAAGTGCGTGATATCAAAGGTTCAGAGACGAATAATAAAACAAGAATTTCCCACTAGGAATGGTTTTCAGCACGGGGGAAACCATGCCTGGCACTGTGGTAAGTGCTTTATGTTCATCACCTCACTAAATCCTTTTAACCATTATTATTATCCCATTTTGCAATTGAGGAAACTGAGGTTTAGAGAGCCAATGTCATTTACCCAAGTGCCACATACCTAGCAAGTGGAAGAAGTAAGACTTGATCCTAAGTTTATTCTCTTAAACCATTATGAGGTACTACACTACATTCTTTTTATTATTATTGTTATATACAAGTGCTATGGCAGTGCCACTTTTCTTCCAGTTTTATTGAGATATAATTGACGTATAACATCATATTTGTTTTTGATTAAAACATGGTTATTCGATATATGTGTGTATACTGCAACATGATTACCACAGTAAGTTTAGTTATTGTTAACAATAACTATGTTTAGTTAATATCTGTCACCTCATATACTTACAAATTATTTTTCTTGTGGTGAGAATTTCTAAGATCTACTCTCTTAGCAACTTTCATATATACCATTTAGTATTGTTAACTATAGTCACCATGCTTTACGTTATACCTCCAATACTTATTTATCTTATAACTGGAAGTTTGTACCATTTGACCACCTTCACCCATTCGTCCACTCCCTATACTTCACCACATATAAGTGATATTATATAGTATTTGTCTTTCTCTGTCTGATTTATGTCACTTAGCATAATGCCCTGTTGTTGCAGATGGTAGGATTTCCTTCTTTTTTAATGGCTGAGTAATATTCCATTGCGTATGTATACCACATTTCCTTTATCAGTTAATCCATTAATGGACACTTAGGTTGCTTCCATGTCTTACCTATTGTAAATAATGCTGCACTGAACATCGGGTTGCATATATCTTTTTGAGTTAGTGATTTTGTTTCCTTCAGATAAATACCAAGAAGTGGGATTGCTGGGTCATAAGGTAGTTCTACTTTTAATTTTTTGAAGAACCTTCATACTGTTTTCCATAGTGTTTGTACCAATTCACACTCCCACTAACAGTGCATAAGGATTTGTTTTTTCTTCACATCCTTGCCAATACTTGTTATTGTCTTATTGAGGATAGCCATTTTAACAGGTGTGAGGTGATTTCTCATTACGGTTTTGATTTATTAATACATTTCCCTGGTGATTAGTGATGTTGGAGTACATTTTCATGTATCTGTTGGCCATTTGTATGTCTTCTTTTGAGAAATGTCTGTTCAGGTGCTTTAGCCATTTTTAGTTTGGTGTCATCCCACTAGTTAATTTCTGCTTTTGTTGCCTTTGCTGTTCATGTTAATCCAAAAGAATCACCAAGACTGCTGGCAAAAAACTTACCTCCTATGTTTTCTCCTTGGAGTTTTATGATTTCAGGTCTTACATTCAAATCTTTAATCCATTTTGAATTGATTTTTGTGTGTGGTATAAGATAGGGGTCCAGTTCCATTCTTTTGCATGTGGCTGTCCAGTTTTCCTAACTATTTTTGAAGAGCCTATCCTTTCCCCTGTGTATATTCTTGGCTCCTTTGTCATAAATTAACTGATCATATGAGTGTGTGAGTTTATTTCTGGGCTCTCTATACTGTTCCATTGATTGGTGTCTTGTTCTAACCAATGAATGTCATACTGTTTTGAGTGCTATAGCTTTGTAATATAGTTTGAAATCAAGAAGTGTGATGCTTCTAGCTTTGTCCTTCTTTCTCAAGATTGCTTTGGCAATTCAGTGGTCTTTTGTGGGTCAATTTCCATACAAATTTTAGGATTATTTTTCTGTAAAGAATATCTTAGGAATTTTGATAGCATTGCATTGAATCTGTATATTGCTTTGTGTAATATGGACCTTTTAACAATACTAGTTCTTCCAATCCATGAGCACAGAATCTTTTCATTTATTTGTATTTCCTTCAGTGTGATACAGTTTTCAGTGTACTGATCTTTCACCTCCTTGGATAAATTGATTCCTAGGTGTTTTATTCTTTTTGATGCAATTTTAAAAGCGATTGTTTTCTTACAACAGCATTCTTAACATGTGTAGGGATTTGGCCTTCCAGCCCTGTCCCTGTCATCTCAGCTCACTCTCCTGATGGATCAGTTCCATTGTTTGCAGTCATCTCTTTTCTTTAGGACTCTCACCTCTGTCTACTTAATTGTTTTTGCTTGTTTTCCTTCTAGATAGTTTTACTTCCACCAGATAGTGACAGAGAAGAATGGCTAAAGCAGTTAAATTTCAAATTAATTGCACTTGAGCCACACAAGTCACTGAAAACCCCAGAGGCTATAGAATTCTACAGACCTGGTTCATATCCCAGCACTGCCACTTATTAGCCATGTGACTTAGAACGTTTCTTAATTTCTCTGAGCCTTGGGTTTGCCATCTGTAGAATGGGGATAGTAAAAACTGTGCAAGAGTTGTTCTGAGGAACTTTGAGATAATAGAGTGCTTTGGGATTGACAGTGTTAGATATAGAAGGAAGAAGAAACCCTCTCATCTGTCTCTCCCTGTGTTACCTCGTGATTCTCTTTGTAATACTTGTTTCAGACCTACAACTGTCTACTTCCTTCCTCTCCCTCTTCATCACATACCAAACTCAACCCTGTGTCACTGCTCCAAGGACTAGAAAGTAAGATAGTGTTGAGAAATAAATTTAAGCTGACTGCTCACATGTTAGCCAAGTTTTGAAAACACTAGAGACAATCTGGAAAATGCAAGCTTCACTCCTTCCGAATCCCAAAGAATAGAAACCTTGCCAAATATGTGCTGAGGAAATCCTCTTATCTGATCATACAAAATATGACTAGAAATTTACACTGTTGCATGTGCTACGCAGATGGGTCTTTTAAAATTCTTCCTCAAACATTGCTATCAAGCTTCATAAGAACAGAAGACCTAAGGAGATAGCCTGACCTGTGGCTATATTTAGAAATTAACCAGGGGTTAACCATTCTCACAAAGGGAAAAGACTCTAAACAATGAGAAACGCAGATTCGGATAGTTACCCACCTGTGTGCATGCTTTTTCATCTGCCCAGACCTGAAGTGGAGAGTTTGAGGAAGGAGGACCTGGGTGGTGAGGGAGAGTAGAGCCCTATAGAAGACCCTCACTTGACTGAATTTGCAGAGTGAGTCTTAGGGTAACTGGAGGAGAAAGAAGCCCCTTCAAAAGCCTTGTTCCTTGTATGTGAAATCATCTGGTGGCCCTCTCAGAATGTCCCCATAACAATGCTTAGAGTGAATGTTGGTAACCGCTAGGCAGCCACCCTAATAGCTCAAATCAGGAATAGAGTGGCCACTCATCCTGTTTTCCGGGAGCAGTCCTGTTATATCTGAGACAGTGCTGGTGTAATTATTCATTGCTGCTACTTTCATGATCAGAAGTATCCTTGTTAAAATAGTAAATTGGGTGCTCACTTGGTAGTACAGCACCCATCAGGCTCCCCTCAATCACGGCCCTCATGTGCTCTCACACCCACTCGCTCCGCTGCCATTTTACCTGATATTTACTTGGCACAGGCATGCGTCTTGACTTTCCTCCCTTCATCCAGTGGCACCTTGACCTGACTGATATCAGTGAGCATGCCAAGGCAGCACAGCCTCAGAGCCCACCGATTGGAATGTGCTGGATTTCCCAACCCCACCCCATTACAGGAGGTTCTCTTCCCTTCACAGTCCTTGGCAACCACCTCAGAGCCCTTGTTTGCTTTTTGAGTGTGCACGTTCCCCTTTT